CACAAGTCCTAAAGTGGCCAAGAACTCTGGGAGTTGAAGTCCACAAGTCATAAATGTCAGCCTCGGAAGCCATTTTGTACTTGGAAGCTTTGAGGCTGCCACATTCAAATGCCTGGTAATTTGGGAGGGGGTATTTCATAGAGAGGTGGAAGATTAGACACAACAACATTCTTTCTCAGAGTCAAGGACATGTTGCCCTGCACCTGGAAGGGAGTGACTGGAGGGATGTCTCCAGTTGGGGTGAAGATTTGATTGGGCCCTGTGATGGACTGATGGGTGCAGGGGGTGGACCTTTGATTTTTCTTTTGGGAAGGGAAAAACCCAGAACTGTGCCAATAGGACAACTCTAATAAAATGGAACTTTGAGGAATTGTTTGTCTCAGAATTGAATGATTTGGAGTTGGCTAGTTGGCATTAAGGTTGCCAAGAACTCTGGGAGTTGAAGTCCACACGTCTTAAAGCTGCCAAAGTTGGAGACCCCTGCTCTAGGATGTGAGGTGAATACAACTGCTGTGGTTTCCACACCATCGCCGTAACTGAACTGACAATCCGCAAATCCAGGTTAAAATCAATCAGGGTTTAAAAATAAGGGGGGGTGGGGAATCCAGGCCTAGAAAACTTACCTGTTGCTCCAAAGGTTGGCCATCAAGAACCAGGTGAGTCCCCATTTTTGCTTCAGACGACATGGGTGACGCTGAAAAACAGAAGAGAGGGCAGTTGGAACATGCCGCCTGTTTTTAAAGAGGGTTTTAAAATTATGGGATGGGCAGGTAGCTGAAGGGATGCTATTGTATTTTATTTCTTACTGGTTTTTAAATTGTTATCAGTGAAATCTACAAAGATAAAGGACAGCAATAATCTAAAGGTGGGGAGGAGAAGGAGGAGAGGAAGAAGGAGAAGAAGAGGGTGGAAAAGGAGAAGAGAGGGGAAGAGGAGAAGAAGCGGAAGGAAGGAAGGAAGGAAGGAAGGAAGGAAGGAAGGAAAGAAAAGAAAATACCCATTTAAAAAGTTTCAATGAAAATATTATGGCAAGAAACGTCATAAAATGGGCCAAAACTTACTTAAACTATTTTTCCTGGTTTTTTTTTTAAAAAACTCTGGTATTTGTGTATAGTCCTTATGATGTTTCTAGTCCTCGTGATGTAGCTAAAAAATAGAAATGACATCAGGAAAGGCTAAAAGTCAGATAGGTTGGCCCTCAAGGTCTCCTCTGGCTAGCAAGTCGCATTTTTTTGTACAGCATAATCTTGAACTCCCAACCGCCGGGGAGAAAGGAAGAGAACAGAGTAAAGGAATAAGGCAGCCTTAACGTTGCCACGCAAATACGCTCCGAAAATTAACTTCTGCCCCACTGGGCTGCTTGCCAAGGGCACATAAAGGACCTTAAATTGGGAATGGTGAGCGTTCTTTCATGCTTGTGCCAGGAATGTCACCCTGTTGACGACTCACACAGAAATATAATCCCCGGGTACAGTATGTTCATACGAGACTGCGGCAGAATTATCTCCTTATTTGGTGACGATGACAACAATAGGGGTGCAACGGGCCTCGTACCCCTGATTTAGGCAAATAGGCACCACCCCCAATCGTTCGTGTTTTCAACTGGAAGGAATAAAAAGAAAGAAAGGGATGGTTTTGTAAATCTTGCCTTTCAGCTTTGTAAAACAGATGTCAGCAAACTTCCACTCCAACCAATAACTCCGAGACAGACACCTTCTCAAAAGTTCCTTTTATTTTGGGTGTAGTAAACTGGCACAACTGGGGAATCCCAAATCTGAAAGTTCCGGGCTTCTTTGCAATAAGTAAAAAAATTACAAATTCATCCTCCACCCTGCACCCATCATCACATCACGTGCCCCAATCACCATCCGCCCCAAGTTAAGACTTCCTCTAGCTTATGCACAAAATAACATGGCCTTTAATAAGAAAAGGTGTGATGACCGAGGGTGTGGCACAAAAGCGACAAAGTCATAAAAGTAGGTAAAGTCCCTTGAATTCCTCCAATTTGGCCCCCAACGTCCAGTTATCCTCGGCTGGAGGAAAAAAAACTCTCCCAAGAACAGTTTTTAAAGGGAAGATATTCTGTCTGAACCCAAAGTACATATAAATTATAAATAAAAACCAACCAAAACCACGCTGCAGCAATTAACAAGACAGGGCAGGATAAGGAATTGCAACTTCCAAAAGATGACGAAACACATAGAGTTGAGAGGACACCAGAACCCAGATAAGACTTGACAAATAAAGATAATGCACGCTTTGCTTCTAGCAAGGTGCTGTGTGCAAACGCCCTTTTAAAAACCTGTTTTCCCAGCTGCAGCTAATGAAGGGGATCAGGGCCTTTTCCTCCCCTGTAACCCACGTTGCTCCCGTCTCCGTTCCTCCCTGTGTGCCCTAGGATGAAGAGGGGGTGGGCCTAGGTCTTCCTCTGAATGCCCAGCCAGACTGTGCCCTTCCCCAGTTTCCCCCACAGCCACTGGAGCCACACTCCCACTCCCTGTCAGCAGTTCGACCTCCCCGTCGGAATCAGGTTCCAACAAGGGGCATGACAAAAAGAATGTAATTATGTCTAACTACACACACTCCCCCTTCCACTTTCCCAGGCTCAAAAGGTGGCAGCGTGGGAGCATGTGGTCTCAATATGGCTTCCAAAGCCGCAATATATATAGATTATTATGCAAAATGCCAATCCGATATAAGGTACAGGTTGACGTACGACCCACAAACAACTTATGATCACAGTTCCAGGCTCAGTTATAGCTATCAGCCGAGGACTTCCATTGTATAACATCATTCTTCAGAAATAGTGCTAGGCCAACCAATGAACGGCCGATCAGATCTCCTTGAAGTGGTAAGGTAAAGGTACAGCTTCCCCTCACACATCCGTGCTAGTTGTTTCTGGCTCTAGGGGGCGCTACTCATTTCCGTTAGCAAAGCCAAAGAGCCAGCACCGTCCGAAGACGTCTCCGTGGTCATGCGGCCGGCATGACTAAACACCGAAGGCGCACGGAACGCCGTTACTTTCCCACCAAAGGGGTCCCTGTTTTTCTACTTGCATTTTTTTTTTACGTGCTTTCGAACTGCAGAAGGTTGGCAGAAGCTGGGACAAGGAACGGGAGCTCACTCCGTGACGCGGACCTACACAGAATTCCTGCACCAATAAGTAGGACATGGCTGAATAACAGTAACTGCAAGAGGGACCTTGGACCATCACTTAAATAGGAGCCAGCTGTGTACTGAAGCTGCCAAAAAAGCCAACGCAGTTCTAGGCTGCATCAACAGAGGGATAGAATCAAGATCACATGAAGTGTTAATACCGCTTTATAAGGCCTTGGTAAGGCCACACTTGGAATTCTGCATTCGGTTTTGGTCGCCACGGTGTAAAAACGATGTTGAGACTCTGGAAAGAGTGCCGAGAAGAGCAACAAAGAGGATTAAGGGGACTGGAGGCTAAAACATATAAAGAACAGTTTGCAGGAATTTGGGTTTGTCTAGTTCAGGGGTCCCCAAACTTGGCAACTTTAAGACTTGTGACTTCAACTCCCAGAATTCTCCAGCCAGCAAGTCTTAAAGTTGCCAAGTTTGGGGACCCTGGTCTAGTTTGAATGAAAAGAAGGACCAAGGGGGACATGATAGCAGTCTTCCAATATCTGAGGGGCTGCCACAAAGAAGAGGGAGTCAAGCTATTCTCCAAAAAGCCCTACAAGGCAGGACGAGAAGCAACGGATGAAAACTAACCCAGGAGAGAAGAAAGAAGCAACCTGGAATTTAGGAGAAATTTCCGGACAGTTAGAGCAATTGATCAGTGGAAGAATTTGCCTTCAGAAGTTGTGGGAGTATTTTAAGAAGAGACTGGACAGCGCCTTGACTGGAATGATACAGAATCTCCTCCTGGAGCAGGGGGTTGGATTAGATGATCTCCAAGGCCCCTTCCAGCTCTATTCTGATTGACTGGAGGGTATGGGGTCTCCGGGGGGGGGGGGGGGGGGGTTGGACTAGAAGACCTCCTAGATCCCTTCAAGAATAACTCTTGTTATTCTGTAGTCTGCATTAAATAAGGAACCAAACAAAACGCTGAATTCGCACAGGTCACTTGAAGGAGCAGAATAACAGAATCGAAAGGGGCTCTGGAGGTCTTCTAGCCCAACCTCCACCTACCTATCTGTGGAAACTTATGGCCTTGTAGGCCCATTTCATAGGCAAAGGTGGTTTCCCACTGGTTGACAGTGGAAGGGAAACTAGGTTGTTGTTGTTTTAATCAGTTCCAGGCACTGGAAAGCAGAAACCAACATTGTGAGAAGGGCAAGGCAGATCAATTTTATGCTGTTATAGTTCTGGGCTGACAGACTAGCCAAGATCCTTTTAATTTGGCCAGGAGCCAGAGTTCAGCAAATAATGTTTCTCTTTCAGCATTAAATGTTTCAAGCCAATCAAGGATATTCCCACCAAATTTAACAAGGAGAAACATCTTTATCCCCAAAGACGAAGCTAAGAAAACGTTATTAACACAATATTAACAGAATAACAAAGTTGGAAGGGACCTTATAGGACATCTAGTCCAACCCCCCCGCCCAAGCGGGAGACCCGACACCATTTCTGACCGATGGCAGTCCAATCTCTTCTTGAAAGTCTCAAGTGATGATGCTCCCACAACTTCTGAAGGCAACTTCTGTTCAATGGGTTGACCACATAGTTTCGTAGCTTTTTGTAAGAACTAATTGTAAGACTTTACTTTCTACTGTCCTACACTTAGGCAAGAAAAACCAAAAGTACACATATAGACAGGGTGAAACCAGGCTCAATAACGGGAACTATGAGAGGGATCTTGGAGTCTTAGTGGACAACCAGCTAAATAGGAGCCAGCTGTGTGCAGCAGCAGCCAAAAAAGCCAATGCAATCCTAAGTTGCATTAACAGAGGGACACAATCGAGATCAAGGGAGGGACTAATACCACTCTATAAAGCCTTAGTAAGACCACTCCTAGAGTACTTCATCCAGTTTTGGTCACCACACTATAAAAAAAGATGTTGAGACTCTAGAAAAAGTGCAGAGCAACCAGGATGATTAGGGGACTGAGGACTAGAACATATGAAGAATGGTTACAGGAACTGGGCCTGGCTAGTCTAGGGAAGAGAAGGACCAGGGGAGACAGGACAGCAGCCTTCCAATATTTGAGGGGCTGCCACAGAGAGGAGGAAGGGGTCAAGCTATTCTCCAAAGCCCCTGAAGGCCAGACAAGGAATAATGGATGGAAACTGAACAAGGGGAGATTCAACCTAGAAATAAGGAGACATTTTCTGACAGGGAGAACAATCAATCCATGAAACAGAAGTTGCCTTTGGAAGTGTTGGAAGAAAATATCCTTCTGGGTTCAGTTCCAAATGGGGAAAAAGACACTGGAAACTTGGAGGCTGTTTGGAAGGTTTAATGGTGGACAGGAGGACCACATGGCCTGGAGCTCCAGAGTGAAAAGGAAGGATGATCACATGCTTCAAGGTGAAGGAAGAGATCAAGAAAGGACTGATATGCTGAGAGTGCCTGGGTTTTATAACCTTTATTGGGATTTGAATTGGAGCTTGTATTCTGATTGGTTGTCAGACTCCCATGGGGCCATGCAGGGGAAACTCTGTAGGCTGTCCTGAGTTCCAGGCTTGGTTGAGCCTGGCTGCATGATGATGCACTGAAAGGG